CTTTAGTTTTTAGAAAGATAGGTTGAAAACATAATCTCTTTATCTCCTTTGGAAAACCACACTTCACTCTCCCATGCTAACAATCAACTCAATTCAGAGACTTAAGGAAATTAGTTCCAGCCCTCAAAACAACCCTCATCAAAGAATGCAGAAAAGAATGCTACCTTCTGCTTAAGTACTGCATAAGCACCCACTGAAATGTCATTAACGTAATTAGCTCAACCAAATCCCCCTCGTTGCCACAAACTGACTGTGAAATTGTAGAAATCTTTGATGTCCTCTGACTCATGGCAGAGAAGTGAATTTGATAAAACAGCTTCGAGATGAGTCATGGTCACATTCTCCCTGCATGTACACAGCACCAGTCAGTCAGTCCATTCAGTAAATTTAACTTCCTCAAAACAGTGCTCAGTGAAAAAAAAAGTGTGTATATATATATATATATATATCTATATTTATTTATTTATTTAGCTGGAGTTTTCTCATGAGTTAGCGTTTACAGAGACACAGATTCTAAATTAATCAATGCCCCAGTCTGATCTGTAGGCTAAGTTGTATGGTAGTTTCGTAATGATGATAATAATAAATAACATACAATAAATAATAAATAACAACAATAGCATTTGACCCCTAAAAAATGCGTATGATCTACTAGTTACGACTTTAAGCCATACACACACATGTGTACATGCACACACGTATGTATACCTCCCGTATACATATGTATATTCTGTTGTTTAGCCACTGTGTCCAGCTCTTTAGAGACCCCATTGGCTGTAGTCCGCCATGCTGCTCTGTCTATGGGATTTCCCAGTCAAGAATTCTACAGGGGGTTGCCATTTCCTTCTCCAGGGTTTCTTCCTGACCCAGGGATAGAACCCACATCTGCTGCATTGGCAAGCAGATTTTTTACCACTGAACCACCAGGGAAAACCACATACATATATATGTGTATACTATTTAATCCTCAAGACATCCTTGATATCGGTTCAGTTCAGTTCAGTCACTCAGTTGTGTCCGACTCTTTGCGACCCCATGGACTGCAGCACGCCAGGCCTCCCTGTCCATCACCAAACTCATGTCCATTGAGTCGGTGATACCATCCAACCATCTCATCCTCTGTTGTCCCCTTCTTCTCCCACCTCCGATCTTTCCCAGCATCAGGGTCTTTTCAAATGAGTCAGCTCTTCGCATCAGGTGGCCAAAATGTTGGAGTTTCAGCTTCAGCATCAGTCCTTCCAATGAATATTCAGGACTGGTTGGATCTCCTTGCGTCCAAGAGACTCTCAAGAGTTTTTTCCAACATCACTGTTCCAAAGCATCAATTCTTTGGCACTAAACTTTCTTTACAGTCCAACTCTCACATCTATACATGACTACTTGATATTGATAGATGCTATTATTATCCCATTTTGCAAAGAAGAAAATAGAGGCTCAAAGAGCTTAAAAAATTCATCCAGCATCACAAAATGGTGAGGGTGGTATTGAAATCTGGACCATCTGACTGTAAAGCCTGTGCTGCTTATTTATCACTACATACAGAGCCCTTTGTTTGAGTCGCCAGAACATTTGCTTCAAATGACTCAAACTTCATTTGAAGTTGACTCAACTTCATTTGAAGTTTACCTGCAATACAAGAATTTCAAGATTCTATATGATCTCCTTCAAAAATGTGGTTGATAGAGTGAAGAGGAATAACCACAACAGAAGTGATATTTTCAAGGCTTCCGTATAAAAGTGTATGGAGGCAGAGCTGGTAATGGAAAATTATTGATTGTGAGTTTAAAGGGTGAGGAACTTCAGTACTGAGAACAGACAAATTTATATTCCTAAAGTTTTCCCTCCCTATTTGCAAATTCTCCTTTCTACATTTGAAAAGCTGGTTTTTAGAAGTGATGACAAAAGTATTAAAGAGTCAGCCTTAATAACAGCTGTTAGCTCAGATTAGCACAAGAAAAATTTTCCTTCAATTTCTGCTGCACATCCGTTACAGTTTTGTGTGTGTGTGTATGTGAATAGTGAGTTATAGGATGGTGCATGGGATTTTTTTTCCCCCATATTTAAAATGTTTTTCTGCATTTTTTATTACTTTGCCTCATTTCCTAAAAGTTCCTCGGTTAATGTATTATAGCCACTTAGCTTCAAGCAGACAGCTAGGAGTAAATAAAAATAGGAATATTTCTTCCCTCTATTAAAATAAAGATTTATTTGGAATTTAAATTATATTGGCATTACTATTTTTCTATATGAAAATAATTTTTTCCTATATGATCATGTACTTCTGAATTTTACAGTGCTTAATTATAGCTATTAATCACAATATTAAGATAAACTAGGTTTGAGAGGTAAGTTTTCTCTTTTTATTAAGGCTTCTGTGTACTTTGGTCAGTAAATTGTGTGATACTTTCTCATCTGTTTTATTGAAAGCTTAAAAACAAAACAAAGAACACTTGGGTGGCAAAAGTGTAAGTCCTTTAGATAGCTTAATTTTGTCTTTGCCGATGGGCTTTCAGTAAATACATGTATATATTCATATATATTCAGCTCCTTATTTACATTTCTCATTATAAGGTAGAATGGAATTTCCACAGGACTTCAAGAATTATCACCATCAGTCTTCTCTGAATCTCTTAACAGGGCAACTCTCTTAGGGACAGCCCCCGCCTCCATTCCACCTCCCACAAAGTTGCCTTGGGTCATGTGGTCAGTTTGGAGGAGAGAAATAACTACAATAGAGGTAATATTTTCTATGTTTCAAATACAATACAAAAAATGTCTGGAGGCAGAACCGGTAATGGAAAAATATTGATTTGTGAACTGAAGTTCATCAGGACTGATAATAGCTGCCTTTACACCTCAAGAGCAGCTGCAGAATCTGGCTTCTGGCCAATTCTGGCTCCATCTAGGAGGCAGCCGTGAGAAATGGCAAGGCCGTGGGTTTATACTTAGGCTCCAAAAGTTCTCAAATTCCATTCCAGACAGCACCAGGGATTTGAGATTTGTTTCTACAACACCTAAGCCTCAGTTTCCTTATCATTAAATTGGGAGTAAATGCATATTTTTCATTTTTTTTCCCAAGGACTAAAATGAAATGAAAAGACTAAAATGAGATTAAATTTTCTGGGTATCTCAGTAAATGTTTCTGAGTTTCTCAGTAAATACATGTTTCCAGTTTACTAAGTCTGACAACAGTTTCTGTTTTTGGAATAATAACAAAAATATGAAAGATATTGCTGAAGATATATTTTTATTGAGTCAAGTAATAGTTACATTGGATTCTTCTACAGAAGGACTCTTCCTTCTGGAATTTATGATACTTTTGTTGTTGTTTAGTCGATAAGTCGTGGTCTGACTCTTGTGACCCCATGGGCTGTAGCCCACCAAGCTCCTGTGTCCATGGGATTTCGCAGGCAAGAATTCTGGAGTGGGATGCCATTTCGTCCTCAAGGGCATCTTCCTGACCCAGGGATCAAACCCATATCTCCTGCATTGGCAGGCAGATTCTTTACCACTGAGCCACCAGGGAAGCCCTTATGATACTTTGCATCAGTGTTTCTCGAAGTGTGGTCTATGGACTACCTACATCAGAATCACGTGGAGTGCTTAGCAAAAAGTCAATTTCCTGTCTCTAGGTTGGACTTACTGAATTAAAGTTCTTGGGGAAGGTGCTTAGATGAATATATATTTAACAGCATCCTCAGAGGACTTTTTTCCCTACACTGAAGTTTCAGAAGCATTACCTATATGTGTATCTTTATATTTTATAAATGATAACTCATACACTTATGATGTTATTTGACTCAACCTTGAACAAATAACATCTCCTTTGTATTTATGGGGAAACTGAGATCTAGAGAAGTTAAGTTTCTCACCCAAGATTCCAAAGATGTAGGAGGCAGAATTAGATCTATATTCAGGGTTTCTAGTCCAGTTCTATTTAGACTATATTTCTCCCATGCTCCTACATGAGAGGCTACTAGGTGCAGATAGTTTAGGGTTGCAGGAAAGTCTTGCTACTCTACAATATTTTATTCTATATGCAATCAATGGAGATATATTAAGGATTTTTAAGTAGAATAATTTTAATCAGATCCCTGTTCTAAGAGTCAAACGAGACAATTTGGAGAGAGGGGAAACTGAATCCAGAATGTACACTGGGATATTGATGCTGGCATCTCAAAGAGTTGGACATGACTGAGCAACTGAACTGACTGACTGATATAGGCTAGGTTATTTGTGCCAAAATGCTCAAGTTGCATTCCAGAAGGCACTGAAAATGAAATATTTTTGGAACAAGGTATGTTTGTGAAGCCCAGAACATGGTTCTGTATGTCGTCACTAATCACATTAGTATGGCCTCTACGTTGTGAGTTCTGTGAAAATAGAGCCACGTTTCATTCATCTTTGTGTGCTCAGAATCTAGTTTAGCATTGGCTGTATGGTTTCATTAAATATCTTTGTAGTTTGGTAAACTTGAGTGAATGATAGTAAAAGCTTTATGTTGACAAATTCAAATTATTCTTCACATACATAACCCATTTTGTGTATATATATATATGTATATATACACACACAATATATATATACCAATATACAGATTTAGTTACATTACTCATTTGATCATCACCACGGTCCTATTTTGCACATGAGAAGCTCAGAGTGGTTGAGGAACGCACCCAAGGTCAGCCACGTGCCTAAGCTCTAATGCTGGTAGAGCTGGTATTTGAGTTAGACAGCAGGGTCCAGTGCCTTGTTGTGGTGCGTTATGTATATGAATTTATCATTGTTTCAGTTGCTTATTGTTTCTGACATTATTTCATATTGGTGTAAACTGGAATTTCATAGGTGTACCATAGGCTATATGTATAACAAACATGTAAAATATTAGTAGCTTAACACAAATCAAGTTTATTTCACACTCACTCAAAGTCTGATGTGGCTTTGCTGACATTCCTGTGTGGCTCTCACCCAGCGTCGTGGACTGAGTTCATCCTGTGACCATGCCAGCTGGGCCGGAATTGAGCAGGCAGCGGAAGACAGAAGGAGACGCATTGCTCTTGGTTGTCTTGGACTGCAAGGTCACAGGCAGCGGAAGAGAGGAGGAGACGCATCAGCTCTTGGTTGTCTTGGACTGCAAGGTCACAGGCAGCGGAAGAGAGGAGGAGACGCATCAGCTCTTGGTTGTCTTGGACTGTAAGGTCACAGGCAGTGGAAGAGAGGAGGAGACGCATCAGCTCTTGGTTGTCTTGGACTGTAAGGTCACAGGCAGCGGAAGAGAGGAGGAGACGCATTGCTCTTGGTTGTCTTGGACTGTAAGGTCACAGGCAGTGGAAGAGAGGAGGAGACGCATCAGCTCTTGGTTGTCTTGGACTGCAAGGTCACAGGCAGCAGAAGAGAGGAGGAGACGCATCAGCTCTTGGTTGTCTTGGACTGCAAGGTCACAGGCAGCAGAAGAGAGGAGGAGACGCATCAGCTCTTGGTTGTCTTGGACTGCAAGGTCACAGGCAGCGGAAGAGAGGAGGAGACGCATCAGCTCTTGGTTGTCTTGGACTGTAAGGTCACAGGCAGTGGAAGAGAGGAGGAGACGCATCAGCTCTTGGTTGTCTTGGACTGTAAGGTCACAGGCAGCGGAAGAGAGGAGGAGACGCATTGCTCTTGGTTGTCTTGGACTGTAAGGTCACAGGCAGTGGAAGAGAGGAGGAGACGCATCAGCTCTTGGTTGTCTTGGACTGCAAGGTCACAGGCAGCAGAAGAGAGGAGGAGACGCATCAGCTCTTGGTTGTCTTGGACTGCAAGGTCACAGGCAGCAGAAGAGAGGAGGAGACGCATCAGCTCTTGGTTGTCTTGGACTGTAAGGTCACACGTCACTCCACGCATATTCCACTGGGTAGCACTATTCACACAGCCCAAGTTAACTGAAAGAAAGGCTGGAAAGTGCAAAGGAGCATATGAATTTTGGTGAACACTAATGATTTCTGCCGCAATAAAAAATAGAATAGCAGTTATACATAAAAATCAAATTTAGGAGCTTCTGTGTCTTGGGGTGTGGTCGTGTGTCACACTCCTTGGCATGTGGGTATGCTCACCAACCCAGGAACTCTAAATCCCATTTTTAAGAGGTTTTTAGTGGCTTCATTCTGTAGTCATTATTGATTAAATTACTGGCCATTGGTGATCAAATCAATCTTTAGCCTTTTCCCTCATCCAGAGTTTGACAGGTGGGGCTGAAAGTTCCAATCCTCCAATCATGCCTTGGTTTTTCTGGTGTTCAACCTGAAGCTCCCTGGGGACCCCAGCTCCCAGTTACCTCATTAGCATACAAAAGGACACTCTGGTCACTCCAGGGCCTCCACCAATCTTAATAAAAGTTCTGTGCCTGGAACTGGGGTGACAGAAAAATGCAAAATAAAGGATGCTTCTATTACCCCTATCATTCAGGAAATTACAAAAGTTTTAGAAACCCTGTACTAGGAAGTTGGCATAGAGACTGAATTCACATTTCTTATTATGTCATACAAAGTGACTTAATATCCTTGGTTTAATATAGGTCAGGGAAGAAGGTGGGCAATAGTGTGCTGGAAATTTTTAACAACCAGCTTGCTGAAAAAAAGTATGCCAGTTTGTACATCCATTAGCTTATTACCCACTTTTCTGATATAAGGATGGGTAGCACACTATTTACAAGTAATAAAACACACAATCCTCTTCATTATGCAGAATGCTTTTATTGGTTTTTGTGAAACATTTGAGTCCCTAATCAGCTATGACTGCAGTTGATGAGCAGGTACAGTTATGACATGCATGTCATATTATGACACGAATACAGTGAAAAAACAAAGATGTGTTTTGAAACTGCATTTCTCAATGATGTAAGTTACATTTTGCTGACTCGGGTAACAGTTTTCAAATACTAGAACATTTTGAGTTTTCACAATGTGACAGCTATGAATATGACACGCTTTCAATTCTAATCAACATTACTAACAGTTCCTCCACGACTTTAAGTCTTGACAGTCATCAAAACAATAAATTAAGCCCTGGCTTGTAGCAATTTGCCAATTTCCATGGTGTAAATACTTTCACCATGACAGATTCCAGGCCTCCAATATGGTATCGTGGAATGTGGAGTTGGGGAGAGGTACTCAGTAACTGCTTGCCATTATATAGCGTTACTGTGATGATAATAATAGATGTAAAAACCCTGAGAGCATGAAGTAATAATAAGGTGTAATAAAATCCCAGAAAGGCATGACTACTTATTTTTACTACTTTTGTTTTTAGTTTATTTAAGTGCAGCTTAAGTAATTTAATTTTAAATAGTGGTTGTGTTTAACAACTGTCCTTAAAAAAATTCTGAAAAATCAATTGGCTTTCATGAGCCGCTTAAGCCAGCTCTAGCCTACCACTGAGAGGGGTGGATAAGACTTCTTACTCCCAGATATACACCTCACCACTTCTGATGTGACCATAATTGCAGTTGTTTTGAGTTTTGAAGACTGTTAGATCTCCACTAGTCCTTTTTGGACATTGTAAATGAGATCATAGCTTCATCAGGAATCCTCTCCACTATTCTAATATCTGTAGCTCTAGCAGCTACTCACCTAATGCTATAGTTAATGCACATCCTAGGCACTAAGGAAATCCTTACTGAACACAGAAAAATTGTGCAGACATCTAAAATAAATTTTACCTTCAATCCGTCAGTGAAAACTGTTTATTATTTTAGCAGGGGTTCAGTGGTAGTCAAAGGTTAGTCACGGAACTGGTAGGAGGAAGTGGAGCCTGGCTCCCTGAGGGAGGCCAGCTTCCACTTCAGTCTCATTAAGTGGTAACCATAATCGAGACCCTCACACAGACTTAGGATTCAGTGCCCCAATTATGGCTGCCAAATCTTGGTTCCTTCCACCCCGCTTCTCTTCCTGCCTTCCTTCCACAGCATTTTGTTGAGATCTCGACCGTGATCTCGACTGTTCTAGGTATCAGAGACATAGCAGCAAAAAACACAAGCCTGCGTCCTCACACTCCTTACTTTCTATTAAGGAAAGTCAATTAACAAATGAACAGTACACATGTAGTGCGTCAGATAGTATTAGGCGCTATGGAGAAAGGGAAAGCAGGAAAGGAGCTTAGAATGAATCAGGTTGGTGGTGGAGTTTTGCCATTTCGGATAGACTGATCCAGAAAGACCTGTCTAATATGCTGACGTCTGAGAAGAGGCCTGCAGGAAAGGAAGCAACAGACATGCAGATATCTGGGGAAAGAGCCTCCCGGGAACGCGAAACAAGGGTAGGGGTCCCCAGGGGAGCGCGTGTTTGATGCACTTGGAGGACCCATGAGGTGGCCACTACGGCTGGAATGGAGTCGGCAAGGAGAGAATGGTAGGACCAGCAATCAGAGGGTTAACGAAGGGGGAAGGCAGAGGGCAGGCGTGTTCGCTGGTCTGTGAGTCACCTTGGTGTCAGTCAGGTCCGAGCCCGAGGACCTCCTCGGCTGTCCTTGGGGCACCTTGTGGGTTCCGAGTCCCTGCCCTCTTATTTGCCTCCTATGCTCCTCTGAACATCAGGTTTGGCAGGATCTTCATACCTGTTTTTCTATCCGAGTACTCATGTGGTCACACTAAGTCCTGACAATCTTGGTCTACTACCTTTTAGAAGTCTGCCCTGTTACATGTAGATACCTCTCGTCACAACTCTCCACAGAAACACTTATTATCTCCCACACTATGCCATATAGCTTGTTCTGCATTGTCTATTCACTTGGTTGCTGAATTGTCATGATATCTCCCTCTGTTTTTAAAATTGCAAATAATGAAGCCCAAAGGAAATAGGGATTTCATTGGTTCACAGGGCAATACAAGTTTCAGGTGTGTTTGATCCAGAGCTGAAAGGACCGCCCTGAGATCTGGTCTCCAGCTCTTGCCTCACCTCAAAACTGACTTCATTTTTCAGCTCTATATGGTGGTATAGTGGCCACTCCAGACCTAAGCTTTTCCAGGTCCAAATTTAACAGAAAAAGAGCACCCCTTCCCCCACTCCTGTTTCTCTTCTCAAGTGTCTCAGAAAAAGATCTCCTTAAATCTTAATAAATGATTGCACATCCCTGAAGTAATCACAGTTAGTTCAGTCAGTTCAGTCGCTCAGTCATGTCCGACTCTGCGACGCCATGAACCGCAGCACGCCAGGCCTCCCTGTCCACCACCAACTCCAGAGTCTACCCAAACCCATGTCCACTGAGTCGGTGATGCCATCCAACCATCTCATCCTCTGTCGTCCCCTTCTCCTCCTGCCCTCAATCTTTCCCAGCATCAGGGTCTTTTCCAATGAGTCAACTCTGCATCAGGTGGCCAAAGTATTGAAGTTTCAGATTCAACATCAGTCCTTCCAAAGAATATTCAGGACTGATCTCCTTCAGGATGGACTGGTTGGATCTCCTTGCAGTCCAAGGGACTCTCAAGAGTCTTCTCCAACACCACAGTTCAAAAGTGTCAATTCTTCTGCACTCAGCTTTCTTTATAGTCCAACTCTCACATTCATACATGACTACTAGAAAAACCATAGCCTTGACTAGATGGATCTTTGTTGGCAAAGTTATGTGTTTGCTTTTTAATATTCTGTCCAGGTTGGTCATAACTTTTATTCCAAGGAGCAAGCGTCTTTTAATTTCATGGCTGCACTCACCATCTGCAGTGATTTTGGAGTCCCCCAAAATAGTCTGTCACTGTTTCCACTGTTTCCCCATATATTTGCCATGAAGTGATGGGACTAGATGCCATGATCTTAGTTTTCTGAATGTTGAGCTTTAAGCCAACTTTTTCAGTCTACTCTTTCATTTTCATCAAGAGGCTCTTTAGTTCCTCTTCACTTGCTGCCATAAGGGTGGTGTCATTTGCATATCTGAGGTTACTGATATTTCTCCCAGCAATCTTGATTCCAGCTTGCGCTTCATCCAGCCCAGCATTTCTCATGATGTACTCTGTATATAAGTTAAATAAGCAGGGTGACAATATACAGCCTTGATGTACTCCTTTCCTATTTGGAACCAGTCTGTTGTTCAATGTCTAGTTCTAACTATTGCTTCCTGACCTGCATACAGATTTCTCAAGAGACAGGTAAGGTGGTCTGGTATTCCCATCTCTTTAAGAGTTTTCCACAGTTTATTGTGATCCACAAAATAAAAGGATTTGGCATAGTCAATAAAGCAGAAGTGTATTTCCTTCCCACAGTAATAGGTCTCTTATGTTGCTCCCCAGGAAGGTGCAGCTTTGGGTATTCCCCAGTCACCCTGGGATGACAGTGGTATTGGTAGGGGTATCTAGAAAGAGACCTACACTCACCCAGCTGTTTAACTCCACTAATTGCCTGCTGATTTCGCTACTCTTTTCAAAAATAATGTTGGGGGGGGGTCTTGATTGTTCTACAAATGAGTCCAATCAAATTGTGGCTCCTTTGATGGAATGGTTTCTGAGGTACATATTCTGACCCCCTGTGGTCTTATTCCCTGGTTCTTGCCAAAAAACTAGTTGGCCTCAATCTAGAATATATCTTCATTAAATCCACAGATCTCTTCTCAATTGCCTTTCACCAAAACCTCCACTATTCTTGAGAGAGCCCTCAGAGTTGAATTTCTCCATGCTCCATTGCAAAGGAAGCTAGTTGCTCTGGGAGAGATGAGGAGC